CCCTCTACCACCAGTTCCACCTCTCCCCTCGCCGTCGCCGTACCATGCTGCCGTTCTTGTCGCGACGGCTCGACCCAGAAGAACAAAGAATCGCGAACGTTACCGCGACCACTTGCGTACTACACTATACATATACAACCCAGAGTGTCCACTTATTTTCTTTTATAAAATCCTCGTACATTCTTAAATGTCTTTATATGTGTTTATCTAAAAGGTTTAATTATAATAGGAATATAATGTTAGGTTTAAAAATGTTTTTCTGATTGTGGTTTTGATGTTTCTGCAGAAAATGACAATTATCATTCTCGACTCCTTAACGACCTCCCGAATGGGTTAATTCATACTTACGAAACAACATCGCATTTCTCATTGTCAAAAGCTATATGGCGTCTGCTACGATTAGCGCTTAAATGAGAAAATAACTTTACGTTTTGTTCGCGAAAAACAAAGGAAACATAATGAAGTAATGATGCAGACCGACGACGGACGTCGGGTTTCTTGATTGTGAGACGAAGAGAAACAATCTATCGTCGACAAAGAGAAACAATCCACTCCGGGCCAGAAACTAATTTCAATCAAAAAATAGGATGACGCAAGCCGGAGGAGTGTAACATGCAACGATTTTCTCGTTGTCGTGAATTCTTTTTTTTTGCTCGTTCGCGTCGTTCTTTTTTGCCTTTTTCGATATTCTCGTTTTTTTCGGTCGTTTTTTTTTCTGTTCTTCTCGCGGAGGAGTGGAATCGAGTGTTGTGCAAGGGCAAAAGTACGTTTACCTCGCGGCGAGTGTTTTGCACACGTAATTAACAACAATAAACGCCGACATTTAATCATTTCGTCTTACGTCTTGTCGTTTGAGCTGTTGCTTGTCGTGTTAAAATAACTTTTCTCTTACTCTTTGTCCAAGTTCAATGTCGGCTGCGTTCACTTTTGCACTCTCTGCACTACGTACATATGTACGTAACGTTCATTATTTATTTGCGATTCTCGTAGACGCTTTTGTGATGCTATTTTTGCATTCTTTCGGTGCATTCACCCGGATTTCAAATAATGACTAATGAATGTCGGCGAAGGTAAACGCCTTTTTTGTCTGTCGAGATTTTATGTAGACATTAAACTTTATAACGATATAACTTTATTGTTGATGGTTTAAATAAAAGCGTCAAAATTAATGGTGCAGAAAGAATTTTTTTTTAATAATAAAAGTAAAGAGGCATAATAAAACAAAACAAGAATTTAATTTAATTAACTATACTTTAATGTAATGGAAACCGTTAAATAATAATAAAGTTTATTTTTCCAGAAGATGAAGACAAGGTGCATTATTTTGCCAAAGATGATCTGCAACATTGCAGAAAAATGATATTAGAACTTTACAATTTTTATCCTAGATCCAAAACTACTCTATATTTATATGCTCCTGATTAAGAAAAATAGATCAGAGCCTTTGTTGGTCCAATAATCTAATAATCCAATAAAAGGGTTGGATTGGGTTGGGTTACGTTGGGTTGGGATGAAATTTGTTGCAGAATAGGAGGGCAAAAATAAACGGAAATAAGGAGGAGAAAAAACCGTATTAGTTGTTCAAGATAAATAAGATGGCAAAATGTTTTAAAATTGTGGAAGCGGCGAATTCTGGTTATCTGCTGCTGGAAGTAAGATTTTTCAAGAATTCTTGTGCTATTCTTACAGTCGCTCTTTCACGTTCTTTATTCATGATTATATTTGCTTTGAATGATTTGATAATTAGAATTTTTAGAATCATTTGATACAAATTTGGAAACAATATTCAGTTGCTACGTCATACCAAGATGAGATACTTTTTCTTAAAAAAATATTTACAGAATATTTGATTTAGATTCTAAATACTCAATATAAATCCCATTTCTTCATAAATCTCCAAACAACTTGTTCATAGATAAAAATGAAACTTTAATAAAATTATTGTGATGAAGACTTACAGAGTTTACCCAATTAGAGTTGAGTGAATTCGGGCTAAAAATAAAAAGTGAATACTCATCACTTAAGAAAAAACCGTTGGCATTCCTAATTCCATTTACGACTACCTACCTCTGTAAAACTTTATTTTCTGCAATGATAATAATGAAGAGTAAACTTCGAAATAAATCGAGGCTGGACCCAAATTTTCGTCTAAAATTAGTTACGCTTGTCCACCACACTGATCCATCATACTTATTTATTTACTGATTTACGATGTTTTATTGTATTTGTAATATTACTGTTTAAATTTGAGAATTTGGATTTATTTGTTCTTAAATCAAAACTGAAATAGGAATTTTCATTGTTCAGAGTGATGTGGGTTATTTTGCATAAATGTTGACAATATATTGATGCATAAACTGTGGGGTAACTCTACACACGTCATTAAACCAAATACAATACTCAACGTGTTTGTTGTAATTGGCATGGTGTGTGTTAATTTATAGAGATGAACCTTATTCTTGTCATTGCAACAGTGTTTCATGACATGTTTCCGTTACAAATATCGGGTTCAAACTAACGTTTACCTCTCTGATACTGTTTGTTATTTAAATGGATAAAGTGTCCTTAAAAAATAATGAACAAAAATCTGGAATCGACTAATTTTCTCGTAAACGAGTAAGCTAGATTTATATAAAATTTAGGAAATGTCTATATTGGGATACATTAACCCATTTATTTAACCCGGTTTTTTATAATTTTCCTTGAGATAAGATGGAATGAAAAGTATAAAAATGTACACAGGCGTTTGAAAAAAAATTGTGTTATGAGATATGAGTTGGTGCAAAAATGCATCACTGGTAAGATAAACGAACAACAACACAAAAATATGTTGATTATCATTTATTAATTAAGTAATAAATTAGTCATAAATAAATAATAATAGTGATACAACATAATACTAACAAATACCAACTTTAGTATGAAGTGTAATATAAAAAATATTCATACTAAAATTAGTGCAAAAACGCACCAAATCACCGAATAAATGCGTCTAAACTTGTTTCTGGTAATACGAAATCATCATACATCCCAATGGTGTGTTTTTGCACCATCAATGTTTCAAGTCGTATTTTAAGAATTCATATTTTTATTTCGCCTTTCAAGAATTTTAAGAATTTTATGTCCACAAAAAAAAATAAATAGTTTTATTTCCATTGTATATTTTGAACAGAAACTTTCAATAGAAAAGAATTGATGGAAATATGGTTTAAATAGCAAACTAACAAACTTATAATGTTATCGTACAAACTGCTAGCACCTTCAAATCTGGAAATATATGGCTGTAATAGTGTATTAAAAAACTAGTTTCGTAAGACACGCTTGAAATGCACGAATTCAAGTTGAAAAACGAGTGGTGCAGCCACGAGTTTTTTAATGAATGAGTGCTTTAAATCTTACGAAACGTGTTTTTTATGCTATTTTTCTTAACAAATTAAATAAATTTTGACCATGTAGGGAAATAGGTATGTAACAGTTGGTAACACCATGACACTTGAAAGTAGAAATTTGAATTGACAATTAGAAAGTGTCAAAACACAAAATATATTCACCTGAAAGAAATGTTTCATGTACACCTCCCAAAATAAGAGAAATGCTCAATGTCCTCATCATTATGGACCTTGTATTCGATGCTTAGAATGTGTTTAAATATCCATAGACAAAAATTGTCACATTGACAACTAGAAAAATTAATGAGCCAATGTCACCAACTTGAACTGGTTCCATAAAATGTTACTAAAATCTCATTACAGCATCGGATGCTGTAAGGAGTCTCATTACAGCACCCGTTTGAGTAATGTAATAGCTTTCATTACCGTAGCGATTACAAAAAATAATTTAACACACCAGTGGGACTAAATGGGTTAATTAACATTTATGCCAAAATGAGTTTGGTAATGTTCCAGTTTTCGATTTACCAAGTTTATTTATTTTTTATTGCATTGTCAGCATGGTATGATTTATTTCTCTCGTTTACCTTATATGGTACTCTGTATTTGGATGTTGTAACTCTATATCTTGTGGAACAAACTATTTCTTAAGGTTAGGAAAGTAGTCTTTATGATTTGAATTTACTGTATTTCTAAGAATATTGTATTTTTTCTTCGAAAGGCCTTTAAAATCTGGAATCTAGAAATCCCAAAATAGGCATATTCCAAACAGTGTACAACTTTGGTTGTTCATGGAGAAATAAATTTCGCCTCACAATCTTCTTTTTGGCACCGATCCTTTATTTTAACCAAGAATATTAAAAATATTTCGTGGAGTTTACATTTCAGTTGAGTAATCGATGAATCACGATTTTTGGAGAATCATGGAGGAATGTAATAGAACTAATTTTTTGAAGGGTCCAATAATGAAATAGTATACAGGGTTATACATTTGGGTTTATTTAATAGTTTTAGAATGTAATTGTATGCTAATATTTGTTATCAAATTTATTTGAAGTGGTAAAGTAACAAAAATCTAGGAGTTCCCAGAATCGTCGTCACCTTAGCAAAGAAATTCTTATCTTCACCTCCCTTTTAACATCAAGCACGATAACGATCTTCCTCAACTTTCATTCCATATTAAAAAGAAAATAAGAAAACGAACAGCCGAAAAACAACTTTCCGGAGGTTTATGTTGTTTTAACCGGATTTTGGTCGGCATTAAAAACGTGCCCGGTATCGAAATAAGTTCCGCTCTAATTTAAAACATTCGTCGAGTGAACGGTAGGGGGGTAAATTCCCAAATTTCACGCATCTATTCCGCACATCTCTCCGTCTCTCTCTGGGGCTCTTTCGCGTGTAGCGTTCATTCCTTCGCACGCATACAGACGCACGAGAAAACACGATAATCCAAGGGAACGGGGCCTTGTTCAAAAATGCAGCATCTAGCACCTCCGCTCACGTCTCCCCTCCTCTTAACAGAAGACGATCGGCCACTCGCTATTGGTCGGCACTCGGACAGGCGGACTCTCCGTCTCAAAACACGCACCTAACTGTGGACTCCCGAAATTCTGAGGAGGACCAGAGCCAGTCGATTCTTAGCCTCCAAGTGTTGTGTTGCTTGCTGTACTTGCACGACTTGCGTTTTTTTTTAGAAAGATATTCTAGTGATTGCAAAAATTAACCGGCACAATTCCCTATAAAATCTGGTCGCTTTGAAACGACGAAAATTCTAAAAAGTGAATGATCGTTATTATTTGTTTTTCAATGTACGAAAACAAATCGGGAATAATGGGCTAAACGCGGAGAACACGCGAGGACTTTTTTATTTTCTTTTGAGTTGGACCGAGTGACACTTTTATTTTGTGATGGCCAGTAACAACGTGCAACACTATCAACAACCAGGACAACAACAACAAGCCAGCTCGACACCGTACCAATGCAAAGAATGCGGACTTTACTTGAACTCTGCGGAATCCCTCGAAGTCCACCTTCAGTACCATAAGGAAAATCTACTCAACAAGTGGGCCAATCAAGCTGCCGCGCCACCCGTTGAGGAAACAAACAACAACACGAAAATCAAACGTGAGTTTTTACCAAATAATCCAGATAGTTCCGATTCTACTATGAAGAATACGTCCGAATACGGAAATGGATCCCCGGTCGAAAATAATCCCAATTTCGGTCAACCACCAACACCACAAAGTTACCACAGCGCCGGTTCGTCGCCTTACCAAAACCCCGAGAATTCTTCATTTTCTCCCGGCTTTCAAAATTACCAAATCAAGCAAGAACAAATTTCCCCCCAACATTACCCATCATCAACAGTACCACCTCCGCAACAACAGCAACAACCACATTTTTATTCTGATTCTTTCTTTAATTTAGATTCCCAATCAAATATGCCATATAATCAAGAGTATTCTAATAAAATGACATCGCAAAACTCATTTCGTTACCACCCCTATCAATACGATCGATCAAACTCTCAATCTTCGCAAGTCTCGTCATCGAGTCCCGTTTATCTCGCACAACCCACACCATCACCAAGTCCGAAACAATGCGATAAATGCGGATACGTTTGCGAGTCGGCCGCACAACTTTCCGAACATATAAACGTTACCCATCCGCCAACGCCGGCTAATCACCACGGAAATTACCAAAACTATAACATGTTTGCCGGGTGCGATATCATCAAAACCGAGGGAGAACAACAAAGCGAAATTTTAGATCTTGATTCCCATAAAGTTCACCAAGTTTTCACGGAAGAAGAAAAGAGGCAAAACGCTGAAATGATTAGTCAAAACCCGCATTCCGTATCTGCCATGTTAAATCAATGGTCACCCGAACATCAAAATTCGCAACCAAAAATGTTCGGGCAAGACGCTAGAATGTATATGCCCCCAGAAAAGGGGATATTCCCCAACGGTATGATCGATCAAAAATTATTTCAATCAAGTCAATCACAAAGCGATTTTATTCCAAACGGCTTAACCGCCGATAGTGGGATGAACCCCGGATACAGAGCTTTTGATATACCGCCTCAAGCGCCGAATCCCGGGATAATACCTGGAAATCAACCCGGTCCTCCGCAATCAACACCAACGCCCACAAAAAGCGCTACGTGGAAATCGAATGAAGCAAGAAGGCCAAAAACGTATAATTGCACAGCTTGCAATAAATGGTTTACGAGTTCAGGGCATTTAAAACGACATTATAACACGACGTTACATAAAAACGCCGTTAAATCAAGTGGCCAACCCGATCCTGCGACTTTGCCAATTAGCACCCATCACCATCCGGCTAGAGGGGATCAAAATAATCGGGGAGATGATCAATCGTCGAATAGTCCAAGGGAAGAATCACGAACAGAACAGGAACAAGTACAAAATTTTGATCGCACACCGATGATGCAGCAATCACCCGCTGGTCCTTACGATCGCCCTCCAGGGCCAAACGTGCATCATCCGATTGGTTTGCATCACCCAACCGGCCTACCAAATTTGTCGGGGAGTCCCCCAAACGGGGAGGCAGGCCCCTCAGTTATCGATTCGAGGGGCCTGCTATCACTCAACACTATGGGCAATACCAGCAACCCACTAACCAGCACCAGCAACAGTGGTTTCCTGCCCCCTATGGTGATGCCAATGGAAGCCACCCAATACCAGATGTACCCAAACGGGGATGCCCCCCACGTTTCGCCAGTTATTATCACCAACAACCACAATACTACTGGTGAAGATCACGTCCAAGAATACCACGCCCATTTAACTGATATCAGTACTTCTACTGTGGAAGAGGGCCAACCTTTGCCCAGTTTCTCGCAAATTCAAGGGCACAGATACGGCCACATGGGCAATTATCAAGCGGACGTGGGGGGCACGGGGTCGGTAACGGCCCCTTACTCGTACTACAGCAACTCATTTAACCACACGAAAAGGTACAACCAACAAAATAACTCTTCAAAACTTTCAGTACTTACACCGGCAGATCCCACATCGATAGAAGGCGATATGTATCCATTAGCGCCTATTAATAATAATAATTTAATAGTAGCAACCGATGGACAATTAAGGCCTGAAGTTAAATACGAAATGTCAAATTTTCCACCTGAATCTGCTCGTACCAGTGGAGAAATGGAAGAGAACAACCCACAGATAACATCCACGTCGAACATCGTCAAACCACAGCCGTTACACAAATGCTTTGATTGCGATAAGGTTTTTAATAAATCTTGTTATTTAACACAACATAACAAAACTTTTCACAGCGGCGACAAACCGTTCAAATGTGCCAGATGCGGGAAAAGATTTTCCTGCGAACAACAGCACATGGAGCATCAGAGCAAACACGCGGGAGACAAACCTCATAAGTGCGACCAATGTCCAAAACAGTTCAATCACAAAACCGACCTGCGAAGACACATGTGCCTTCACACCGGTCAAAAACCCTTCGTGTGCGAGCTATGCGGAAAGGGATTTATCAGGAAAGATCATATGGTGAAGCACGGCGAAACTCATCTTAAGAAACCACATTCCAAATCAGGTTCCGCAACCAGTGCTATTTCCGTTGCGGACCAATAACTAAAAGAAATATGAAAGTTTTTTATTATGAAGTTTGTCTTTGTGTGTATGTCGATTTGAATAACCATAAAATAAGTAAATATTATTCAAAGCGGCATCCTGGCGTCGTTTACTCAGATGTTCTGTTATTTTTGTTGTATATAGTTACTTTTTTTAAGTATTTTTTTATTGTAATCGACAAGTTAATTGCTCAAAGATTATTAATTTATACATAAATATGTAGATCAGAACAGTTGGGTTAATTTTCTATGACGCAGTTTATTCAACACATTTTTTTGTTACTATATTGCCACTGTGATTGTTCATATTATATAATTATAATTAATTATTATGTAATTATTAAATGTTAATTATTAAAAATGAATTATTAAAAATTAGTTATTAATTATTAAACATTCCGTGTGATTTCGATCATATTATTGTATTACAATTTTATTCCAGTATAAACGAGGTCATTGAAAATTAACCATTCTGTAATAATGTATATTTTTAAAAAAAAGAGCAATATACGAAAACAATAGGAAATAAGTGGTAGTGACGAGGAAATACTTAAGCAAGAGAATAAAAAATATTACTACTAATATGAACAAAACAGAAATACCTCAGTCTTCTCAGTTATTTTAGATTTATAAATACTATAATATTAATATTTATATCAGATTATATTAATAATTAATACTATATCAATTTTGTGTACAAATGAAGTTAGAAAGAGAACTGACGTTGTATATTGAATCAGATTCAGATGAGAAAAAAAATAACATATAAAATAAAAAAAGATTTTAGCTAGTGAATGTAAAAGTGGTTATGCGTTTGCGTACCATAAATCAATTTTAATAATGTATTAACGCAATAAATAACCTGTACAACGCAGACAATTTTTGATATTTAATTGATGGACGAGGACGTTTGAATGATTCATTTTCTAGACAAGTATATTTTTCCGATACCGTAACTACCTCAGTTTTTCAATATGAATCTCAAAACTAAATAATACAGTGCCAATCAGTGAACACACAATAAAATTAGTGTCTATCTTCGTGCCAAAACCGTCCCCCGATCAAATCGAAATCGAAAATCAACGAAACGCACTCAAATTTACTTTCGTTTCGTTGATTTTCCAAATAACCGTTTGAATCTAGGGGACACTGTTGTGTATTTAAATTCAATTTCGTTTTATTATTAGTGCAATTATTATCTAGAACGGTTTTTATTCGACGCTGTGATCGTTTATTACTATTTCTTTCTGTATTCGAAAAAACAGGATGATATAAGACGAGTGCTCGATAATTGTATTGTTGTTGTTCCTAAGTTCAGTCGAAAGAGTGCGAATTCGAGTGAACATTTGTAAGTTACACACGACCCCTGTTAGCGTTGTTGTCAGATGCATTCCAGGTTCTAGATAATTGTGTATCATTTGTTAAGACTGAATATTTATTCCGTCATTTTTTTAATCTGTACATATGATTTCTCTAATTTGCATTTTCGGATAATGTGTTTATATCAAATTAATATGTTAAATAAATTAAATATTGATTATAATTGAGTTACATTTTTATTTATTTCTTTTTATTGTCTCCTTATGAAATTAATTAAAAAGGGTAAGTATGGTGAAATGCGTTAAATAAGGTAAGTTAATAAATCAATAAAGAATCAGTTCAACTATCCCGTAATCGTAATTTTCGATAGGAACTTCCAAGAAGAAAAAAACTTAATTGATTTTAGGTTTGCATTGTTCCCAGGGGTCTAAAGCACCTCCGCGTGCCACCTGTTTCAGCTCATTACGGCATTTCCGGTGATAAATCAACCCACCTTTTGATTTTGTGGAACCAGTTACAGCAACCCTCGTAACGCTTTCACTGCAATTTTTCAATATTTCAAATTACAAATAAATTTTTTTTATTTATTTTTTGTTATGTTCAAATATTTTGAAACGGTTTATTGACTACGAACACAATTTTATTGCTATGAGAGGTAAGAAACAATTCCTAGAAATATCTCTTTTAACCTTCAAAAGGTGTCGGTTGTTTTAATGTTATTGAATGAAAGTGGTGTTTACGACCCTTCAGAGTAACGAACCCCAGTAAATGGTCTATTTCCGCCCCGTTACTCAGGTGTAAATAACATTCATAACTTTAGTTATTCTTCTATTTGGTTTTAAAGGTTTCAACCTTTTCGACAAAACTTTCTTTTTAATTGCTTTTATTTTTTTCATCCAATAATAATAAATAATTTAACAAAATCTCATCAAATAACTAGTTCAAAATTTAATTTAAATAATTATTAATCTTTAAATGTGAGATTATGCGAAAAGTACAAATAGAAATTAAAAAATCATATCTGACGAACGAATTGAGATATGACGATGTAATAAAATGCATGTTAAAGCTTATTTATTAGAGATTTAGTGTGCCATAAATAATTTCGTATTTTCCATAAACCTCGTTGTTATGATTGCTTAAACTCAACTCTACACCTTTACATATTTTTTAAAAATAGAAATTTAAAAAATCATATCTCAAGAACGAATTGAGATATCATGATAAAAAAATAAACATTTTAAAGCATATTTATTACAGATTTAGTGTACCATAAATAATTTCTTATTTTCCATAAACCTCGTTGCTATGATTTTTTAAATCAAATTCTGCACATTTTTCTATTACACACTGTCAAAAGAGAAAGTTAAAAATCATATCTCAAAACCGAATTGAGATATAATAATGGAATAAAAAGCATATTAAACTATACAAAAAAAGCTCACTTTCTTATAGTAAGAAACCGCTTTTAGAAATATCTTTCCGTTTCTCAAATATCAATTTTTAAAACCATTCATTTTTTTAATTTTATAAAGTGTTAATCTAAAAAATCATAAAAAATCGATTTCTTAAGATATCGTTTTGCAATTCTCAGAAAATATAGAAAAATTTCTCAGCTTTTTGATGAAAGAAACCACTTCTTAAAATATCTTCAAGATTTTGAGATATTAATTAATAAAGTCATTAATGTATTTGATTTTTCATAATTAATCTTATTTCCTTTAAAAAAATTGATTTCTTAAGATATAGATTTACGACTCTCAGAGATTATACAAAAAAGTGTCGGCTTTTTGATGAAAGAAACCGCTTCTCAAAATATCTTTAAGATTTTGAGAAATTAATTTTTAAAAACCTTTCATTTTTTACTTCTAAAAGAAATCTTAAATTCTCTAATCTAAAAAATCATAAAAAATCTATTTCTTAAGATATCGTTTTGCAATTCTCAGAATGTATATAAAAATATCTCAGCTTTTTGATGTAAGAAGCCGCTTCTCAAAATATCTTCAAGATTTTGAGATATCACTTATTAAAATCATTAATGTATTTGATTTTTCATATTTAATCTTATTTCCTTTAAAAAATTGTAAAAAATTGATTTCTTAAGATATAGATTTACGACTCTCAGAGATTATACAAAAATGTGTCGGCTTTTTGATGAAAGAAACCGCTTCTCAAAATATCTTTAAGATTTTGAGAAATTAATTTTTAAAAACCTTTCATTTTTTACTTCTAAAAGAAATCTTAAATTCTCTAATCTAAAAAATCATAAAAAATCGATTTCTTAAGATATCGTTTTGCAATTCTCAGAAAGTATATAAAAATATCTCAGCTTTTTGACGAAAGAAACCGCTTCTTAAAATATCTTCAAGATTTTGAGATATCAATTAATAAATTCATTAATATATTTGACTTTTTATAATTAATCTTCGATCCTTTAAAAAATTGTAAAAAATGGATTTCTTAAGATATAGATTTAAAACTCTCATATATTATACAAAAATGTCTCAGCTTTTTCACCAAAGAAACCGCGCAAAAAATTCTTTTGGGAGATATCTTCTTTTGGCGACTCGAGGGATTATAAATTTCCACTCCAATCTAAAATTTAATCAAGGTAATGAATGCGAAATCATAAAAAAAGACCCAGGTACACAAGTTGCTAAAACCACTTGTCCCCCTTAATAAAACACATCATAACCACATGTATGTAATGTATCATGTTTCAGAAGGGTTTACTGATGACCATTGGATGACCGTCGTCATTGGGGTAGGTTGTAAATGGTCAGTGTTAGGGTAGGTCATAGGGTCAGGTGCGGAAGGTCCGGAGGTCGACCAAAAGAGTTGTTCGGTCGTGTGGTGCACCTGCAGAAAGGCACTTCGCCATCCGGGGAATGGCATGGAGAAAAGAAAAAAGCTTCGGTCGATCGTTGCATCTCGCCAAAAACAACCATCCGCATTCACCCATCGAAGGTGCTTCGTTGCACCCTTTGAGAATCACAGCGACTCTTTCCCACGAGATTTTTCAACTGTGTAGATGCGCATCGAGGGCGACAATGGGAGCAATAGAACGCAAAGTTCCTATTGCAAGTCACGAACCGAAGCAGATGTTTCTTGTTTACACTGTAAATTTGGTGAAGAAATGAAAATGGGTTTTGAAAATTTTAAGTGATAAATTTTGATTAAATTTTGATTGATTAATAATCCAACCTGATCCACTTGATCTAATCGGAAGGGGTCGCACAATTAATTTTCGAACCAGGTACTACTTCCTGTTGCATCTGCCCGATGCATCCGGATTAGACGTCATCTGTTTATCCTTCCTAGGCTAACCCTTAAACCGCTCCAAACCTGGAGCAATGTTTTATGCAAATCACGTTCCCATTCACATGCAAAGCTCGCCGGCATTCAATCTCTCAATAACTGGCCTATACAAGTCTCCGAGCTTCAATAACTTCTCATCAAGTCGACTTCTTTAGTTATACACCAAAGACGGTATACATATTTCAAGACGTATACCACAAAAAATTATTGGATTTTAGTTTTCAATTTTCATTAATAATAAAAATGAAAAAACAATCAATTTTATTTGAAGTGAAGAACATCCGATTTCAATTGAGAACACGTCGAGTTGAAAGTTCTTAGATCAGTTTTAAAGATCTATTGTCATCGCCTTTAGGAAGCTTTAGGACTCCCAGGTGTCTCACAGCCGGGTACCTTTTATTTGTTAGCTTGGGGAGGTAAAAGAATGAAATCTGTTTGTGCAAGTGGCGTTTGATGGGTGAAAAGATAAAAAAAAAGATTTTGAAAACTTTACAAATAAAAACTAAAATAAATCACAATTTACACTTAAATTAATATTCTATTCGAGTATGATGGACCAACACACACAGAGCTTCGTCGTTGACGGAGATTTAATAAAAATCCAATTGTTCGATCACTTTCGGTTGGACGATTTTTAATATCAGCCCGGTGCTCCAGACGAGCTGAGTTCAACGTTGATGTGTTTGCAAGCGATCCAACCTCTTCGACGCCGCTTAAGTGTGCGTGCAACCCCGTCCCGTTCATATACAGGGTGTTGTACGTGTGTGTAGGTTTAGGTCGGTGTGTGTGGGAACGGATTCTTCTTCTCGTTAGTGCGAGTGCGTTGTGCACATCTCTTTTTTCACGTTTGGTATCGTCTCTTCGTAAGAAAGAAAGAATAGAAGGAGAGATGAGGCTTTTTGAAATTGATTTTGCGCGAGTGCAAGAAGGATGGAGGCTTCGACTATATGGGATTGTGGCATGAAACCACCTGGTGAGGCTATGCTGTCTTCGCATAATGGTTAGGTAATCCTGAGCAGTACCCCGCTGCCACCCTCATTATTCCGAAGGCTGCGGAGAATAGGCGATGTTAAGCACAATTATGAAAAGATTTTCTAATTATACTTTATTTTTATTGATACTGAGATTTTCTTAAATCTTTATTCACATCTTTTCCAGTAAACTCAAACAATATCATATTACCCAAGGTCGTGCACACTTCGTTACACAAACGGAAAAATCCAAACTGAAAAAACTCGTCGCATTAACAGAGAAATCGAATGACCGTAAATATTATGTTAACCCACATTAATCCAAACGTTCGCCCGTTTTTTTTTCTTTCGTTCTCTTTTTCGACTCAGTTTCCTCACAGCATCGGATCGCGGTCTGTTTGCGTTTCTCACAGAGCGCGCCCCACGAAAAGCTCTTTTTTCGCTCAGAAAACGGATCCATCGCGGAATCCCTTTTTTTGGTTAGAAACCCCTTAAAAGCGTATAGAATGTGCGCTATATATCCGATTCCGCAGCGTCAACGAACCCCTTATTAGAAAAGACGAAATTTTTATTGTCGTCGCAAGTGAACCGGAGAGAACTAGCAACCCCTTAAGGAAATAAAGGTTAAAGGAAAGGTGTCGAACGCGGAAGAGGAGATAGCTGCGGCGAGATTCCGGTAAATGGGGTGCAGGAAGACACAAGGGTTGATCGTGGGAAAAGGCAAGGGGTTGCAGCATCCCTCGCATTGCCCAAAACAGCTGCACGACGTGTCGTAGCCGATCAACTTGTTCTTGTTCGTTCACCGTCCGATGCTCTGCCCGGTTAATTAAAAGACAAGGATGCCAGAAGAGGAGGTAGCATTGATTTCTCAGATAATGGCCAGTTCGGATTGTCCAACGGAATTGGCTATTAAAATAAGGGGGAAGGATGTTAC